GACGGCACTTTGCTTCATCACTGACGTTTTTCTGCCGCTGTTCTCCTGCGACCTTGAAACACCTCCTCCCAGCTGCTGCCAAACACTTGACCTTATTTATTCACAGCCACACTCACCCGTTCCTCTCTTCTCCACTGTTGTGATGTTGATGATTCAGACTGGAGACAGTTTGTCCACCACTGCAGGTATCTACGTGCGGATGAAAAGCATATCTGAATGACTTAGTCAAACATCATCCTTTTAATCTACAACACCCTCCACCTGTCAGCAGGTCTCAGATGATTTCTCCGTCCCCTCCGTCCCCCGTCCCCCCCACACACACACACACAACACTCACTCTTCTGCGCCTTCATTTTGACAGTCCCTGCTGGTGTTGAATCTTTTAACTGATCTTTATTTAGATTTTTTCCCCCTGTTATGTTATTTATAAATGGCTGTACGCCAGGCAGGCAGGACTCAAGGCAAGAATATCTGCCATAATTATAGACAGTCTGTGAAGATGGCAGTTCAGTTACATTTAATAATTATAGTCAATTCATTTCAAAGAGAAGATGAATATGTAATTTCTTGAGATTTGGCTTATAGTTAGCCCAGACTGTAGAATAGAAGGTCTCTCTGATGACAGCCTAGAATGAGTTGCAGTTCATGGTTGTAAAACCCTGCTCCATATGAGGACTAATAATATCAAGGCCGACGGCACCTCCTCTAGGTAGTAAGTAGTTCCTGCAGTTGTTTTCTGCTAAGATTTGCCAACCACTGTGCCACCACCAACATCAGAGCCTTGACTTTTTAATATTCATGTACATTTTCAAAAATGTCTTCTGTCTTATCCTATACACACTCTGATCCTTGTAGTTACTGAGAGATTTGAAGTTTGAACTTGATACAATCAGAATTCAAGGTAAACTGAGGCCTGTACTGCTATTTGGTTAGTGTTTCTGTGCATCTGTTCATTTTTCACTTTTTCGATACTCTTAAAGCGAAGGGTTTAACCTAATTTTGTTGCATAACATTTGTATTGTTATTTTGAGCACATTTGGGTTCAACAAAGAAGAAATATCCCAGTTCTTGTTTGGTCCTTTTTTAATTGTTCCTGTATATTTATCTCCACAGGCACAAGAAGAGATCCGAGCCACCCTCTCGAAGGCCACCCGCCCGGCCTACTGATGTCCACTGCATGGTGCACACCTCCCAGCAGGGTCACAGTGGACATGGTGGCACCCCTGTGATGGGCTCCCCAGTTCTTGGCCACTTCAGTCCGCGTGACATGCTGCGGAGCCGCAACCACATGCCCATGGATAGCCCCGAACGGCGCCGTCGCACCGGTCATGGCAGCCTGACTAACATCAGCCGTCACGAGTCTTTGAAAAAGATGGAGAGCCCCCCGATTCGCCGCTCCACCTCCACCGGCCAGTACACAGGCTTTACAGATGCTCATCACCACCATCATCACCACCATCACCATGGAGGCAAGCCACTGGACCCGGAGAGCATCGCACAGGTCAGCGCGGGACGAGCGGCGACCCGACCGCAGCTCCCTCCACCATCAAAGCTCTGCCCCGCCCTGTAAAAACATAGTCAGTCCCTGTCTCCTGCTTCCTCTGGCTGCAACTGTCTATGTGGTGAATTCACACAACAGACAAGGTTCACAGGCAGACACTGACACTGGGACCAACACATTTACTGGTCTCTTAATACCCTCATTATTAATTGGAATTCTCAAGTATCCCAATGAAAAACAAGTATTGTTTTGGGGATTCTTGAAAGTCGTAGGTGGCCTTTTTTCAAATTTTCTCACCTATTCCTGAATTATTGGGGCTGAAATTATGCTTGTTCTAAAGCAAAGGCCACATCTTAAACTGTGATTAACTCTCTATTTGGAGATTTCTTAAATGACTATACAGTACATACAGTCCATTTCATACATTCACTCTGACAACATCAGTAGCACACAGGCGGAGACATTTCTCTGTCTGTAAAACCTTTGTGTGGTTCATTTGTTGACATTGATTTTTTCCCCTTTTCATAAATACTCACGTCTCCTAAAAGGTTGGTACTCTGTCAAAAATGCCATAAAAAATAAAATCAGTTATTTGTTCACGAAGTTGCTAAACATTGAAAGAAAACTCAGAAGCGACAGTCGTGTCAGTGTCATTCAGGTTTTATTCAGAACAACTAAATTCTCATTTGGCATTCACACTCTCTTTATCTGCCACAGGACATAGAAGAAACCATGAACACTGCTCTGAATGAGCTGCGTGAGCTGGAGCGTCAGAGTTCTGCCAAGCACGCCCCTGATGTGGTGCTGGACACTCTGGAGCAGAGGCAGAACTCCGGCAGCAGCGGCGGAGCCCCCACTCCAGCCAGCTCCAGTGAGTCCCTCAGCCCCATCCACGGCATCATGCTGAGGTCCACTGCCAACACTGAGCCACCCATTCGTCGCAGCACCAGCTCCTCGACTGAGACCATGAGCACCTTCAAGCCTGCCGTGACCCCCCGCATGGGAGTGCAGCTCAAACCCCCCACCCTGAGGCCCAAGCCCATGGTCCTGCCAAAGTCCAACCAGGCTGCACAGCCGTCAGCTGTGTCTCCTCAAGATCCTCTGGACAAGTCCTGCACCATGTAACCTCTGGAAGGGAGTCCAGAGTTTCCGCAGAGTCATAGAAGTGCTGCAGACATGCTACGTATGTAGACCGACATAGACAGGATAGAGTGGTATTTGACTTTGGTGAGTTTTAGAAGACAGAGTTAGTAGTTAGGGAGTAACGACATCAGTCAGTGAAACACAACATAGTCAATATTACTGCCCTGGTGTGTAGTATGCTTAGATTACTACGATCTAAACATAGTTTTTTTTCTGATTTTGTGATTATAAATACTTCCTTGAAGAGTGTATATTAAAACTAGTTTACGGACGGTCATGAGTTGTGGTGGTGCATGTAGCTCCTGCCTTTTAACACTGAAGCTAGAAAGGAATTAGAGAAAAAGGGATGGAGACCAAGGTGCAGTGGTGTCACCTCAGAAATCTGCTTTGGAGAGGCCTTAGTGACTTTGAGCACAGCCCAAACTCTGACAACTCTGACTCCACATGTAGAATACACTTAATTTGCTGTGACCTCCGGAACAGATGTGGTTTGAAGGTTGGATGAGGAATGAAGGCCTGATGAGCCTTTGACAAACAACGGTACTCTTTTTTCTTTCTTTTTTTTCTTCATTAGCTGTAGTGACTCACCCTCTGTCACTTTCTGCTACGTTTGCTCAGCCACAGTGACATTAACACAGTTTCATTATTGCCTGGAACGAGAGAGGAGGACTGGATTAAACCACTACTTCCACATGCATTTAATGCGTCCTGTTAGTCCTGCATTTATTATTGATGAAGGGATATGTAGTGCCGTAATATGCCTAATGAATTATGCCACTATATGTGTGTTTATTCCAGAGGGAGTAGTGTGTTAAGTTATGATGATGAATCATCTCCTGCTAACAGTTAGAACAACGTCTGCTGTGAAACACATGCCAGTGCTTATTTGTATTTTGCCTTGTTTTGCTTTAATAATATACCCAAAGATAATACTATCTCAATGTAAAGCATGGATTCTTCATAGTGACTGTGTGTACACTCAGGGCTGTGCCCTGAAGGGCTGCTGCCAGTGGCCATGGACCTGATGACTGTTAGTATACAAACCTGATGTGCTCACTCTGCCTCATCTGTTTACTTTGCCAAGATGTCTTTTATTTTTTTAAATAGCAGTGGACTCGGTTCAAATAGTCTTAGTCATGTGTCATGGTCAGGTCAGGTTGTTGAATGAATGAAATTGTCATTTGGAACTTCGGTGTCTTTAATGAGAAGTGGGGTTGTTTAACACACGCTGTAGTGCTGTTGTGTTGACATTTTTTCTCACACTGAAATTATCAGGGGACAGACTGTTTAACACCCAATAATAATATCATTTTGGTCAAAAAGTGGAAATGTAGTCAGTGCTGTAGTCTTATAGTAACAAGATCAGGTGGTAATTGGTTGAAGTGTTCTGGTGAGAGTGTGGGTTTTCTCCTGTTTTCTTTCACAGGTTCACACTCTGAATTCACGCTAAATGGTTGATTGTTTTTTTTATCTGTGGCCCTCTGTTGGACCTGTGAACTGGACAGTGTGTACCCGACCCTCACCTGATGGCCACTGGGATTAGCCTTTATTCAACCTTGGACCCTGAAAGTGATTTAGGGGAAGAAGAAAATAAATAAAGACAAATAGTTCAAAATCCTAATTATAACCTCTTATCTTGTTAAACACCATTTTACATTAACACTGATTGTGGAAGAGTAGATCAGATGTAGTGTATATTCAGGTCGTCACATTCGACGTTTTCCCTCAGTCACTTCTGACTATCGTAATGTAAAAGCTCCAGAGAGAGGAGGTTTTTTTAAAGCCCAGTTCTACTTCCACTACCATGTCTCAGCTTTTCCTCCTGAGCCATGGGAGAAGCGGAACACCACGCTCTGTCAGGCTCAGTCCTTGTTATCAAGAATGACTCTTAAGTCAAAGGTGCAGATGGATCCTTTCTTATAGGATCCTGAATCTTTCCTTTATGAACCTAATACATGACTGAGGGAAACAGAGGTGTATAACTGTTTGATCTGTCCTTCCACAATATCCCACAAAAAAGGTTCTTTAATGATACTTGGAACTCCAAATGTCAGAATTTCTTTGTTTTGTAACAGGCAGGCCACACTGGAAACAACCAGTAAATGTCAGACAAAGATTCCGATTGCAATCAATCATTCTGCCCAACAGCACTATGCTATATGTGTATGTTCAAAACAGCCAAAACTTCTCCTTTAAGTGGCAGCATAAGGGAACAGGTGTCACCCATTTAGATCACAGGTGTTCAGGTCAAGTAATATTTTCAATAAGCAATATTTCCACGTTAGAATATTAGCTCAAGGTGTAGAAATACACAGCCCTAACCTTGTATGTGTGTGTTTTAAGTCAACGATATTTCTCGACTAAAATATTTTCAGACTTACAGGATGCATGTGCTGGGAATGTTTGGCTCACACAAAAGTACTTGCAATATATTTTACTCTCCAGCAGCAGGTTGGCTCTCTCTCTCTCTCTCTGTGACTCAACTTTTTGTGTGAATTTAAACCACCATTAAGTGATATCTGAATTACTAATGTTTATTATTTTTTATAATATTTGTTGTCTATCTTGGTAGAAATGTCTTTAGCGCAAATACTGTACAGTCATATATCCACAGGTATACAGTTGATGTCCCTCTGACAGTATGAAGCCAGATGTATAGAATTGTGTGCTTTTGTCCCGGTTAAAGCTACATCTATAGTATGTACCTGTGAAAGTGCCTTTTACGTATGTCTGAGAGGAACTTTCTGGAACATTCTGTTGCGTTTCCATGTCCAATGCCGCCTTTGTGAGAAAATGTAGTGTAGGAGTGATTGAGAATAAGTGATATTTTCCAACACACAAATGTGACATGAGTACGTAATAATAAATCCAGTGAGGCTTCGCACCGTCATGTACTGTATATATATATATATATATATATATGTGTGTGTATATATATATATGTATATATATATATGTACATATAGCATGTAACGTCATAACATTATAGTTATTTGGAAGATCTGAGGATTTCTTTTTAATAAAGAAAATAGTTTGGATGTGGATTTGGAATTTTCTTATGCTGCACTTGATCAACGACTAATTCTGTGGTAACAAAAAATGATGTATGTATGTATATATATTTATATATATATACAGTATATGAATCTTCTAAACTTTGTCTAAACATGTTTTCGAGCACAAGTTCAACATCAGAACTAAACTTCAGTCCAAACGTTACAAAAAACAAACAGAAGTGTTTATTTATTTATTTTTATTTAACCATGTTAGTCATTTTGAGTCTTTTCATGGATTGTGATCTGTTACTGTAGATATGGAAGTCTGACTGGACTGATGTCCCCGTCAGACCTGGGTCCAACTGCAGCACTGTTAGCTGGGGTAAGAGCGACTCTCTGTTTGCTGTTTCTCTTTAAGGTCATCTGGTAAAACAGGAGAAAGAGGCCTCTGTTTTGAATAGCGTCGCACAAAAGTGGCTTTTGTCATCTAAAATAATGTAATACAGTGGTTCTCAGAACGTGGTACGCGAGCGCCATCTAGTGGTACGCGGGGAAAATTCACATTTTTCATTTACATTTTCAATTGAATAAATCTGCTGCACATTTAGAAAAGGTGTAGCTACTTGTGAGATTATGAAATAGGAAGCTAATAGAGAAGGCCTATGCTGCAGTATAAAAGTATAAAAAGTTTAAGAACCACTGATGTAATACATATAATACACTTATTCCTATAAGTAACGGTTAACGAGAGAAGAAGACGAAAAATATAACTGTTGATGTACCTCAGCAACCCCAACCTTCCTTCCCCATGTGTGAACACTCTGCTGCAGCTTCTTCTTTTTGTCCTTGGCCTCCATGTAGTCATTCACACCAGGAACCTGGTACTCTGCCATCTGACGCTGCAGTTGTTGGTTCAGGGCCTCAGCCATTAAACATTCCTGTACAGAGAAGATTCACTCAGTTAAAGCCATCGAAATTCCTAACCCTGTGCCTAGAGTTCCGTGTTGATGACATCATGAAAAAACAAAAATAATTGTCTAATGGCCAACCTCTTGCACATGCTGTATCTCCTCCTCTATTTTTAACAACATTTGCTTTCTGTTGGTGATGTCACTGCTCAGCTCTGCAGACATCTCAGTCACACTCTGAAGCTTCTCCTGATCTCTCACACACACACACACACACAAAGAAAGTAAAAGGTTGTACACATTAAAAATACACACACTTTACTCTCCAGTGGAAAGATTTTCACTTGCAACGGTGCTACCTTATGTGAACTGAGGACACGCTGAACTTTCAGATTACTGACTTGGAGTTCATCTCGACTTTTCTCAGTCCTGCGCTCGCTGTACTCTGGAAAGATTTCCTGCCCATGACACACCACCAGCAATATCATAACATAAGTCAAGTGAGAAGATGAAAGGACTCCTACTGACGTAGTTGGACCAGACCCACCAACAACACATTACCTCGTAGTCAGATTTTCCTAATTCTTTCTGGCGATGAAGCTGCTGCTGGATCTTCCTCTCTTGCATCTTTAGAGCCTGGATCATCAGATTTAGTTTCCCCAGCTGGGTGATCTGTGTAGGTGAGTGAGTATGGACGGGAGAGAAGCCACATACAAAGTTGACCATTGAAAGTACTGTAGGTACTGTCCAGTGAGTCCAGCCCCCCCGCCTCCCCTGCACCTCCTAACCTCATAACAATCAGTAATAATAGTAAATACCATCAGCAGTGTCACATTATATAGAGGATATATATAATGTATATTTTATATATTTATTGTATGGTTTAGAGACAGTAGCAATAGGCAGAAGACAGGAGGCAGAGCTGGAGGTGGCAGAGTGACAAGAATGGACAGGATCAGGAATGAGGTCATTAGAGGGACAACACAGACAGGAAGGTTAGGAGAAAAAGCTAGTGACACCAGCTTCAGATGGTTTGGACATGTGCAGTGGAGGGACAGTGGATACATTGGGAGAAGAATGTTAGAGATGGAGCTACCAGGTAGGAGAAAGAGAGGAAGGCCAAAGAGGAGATATATGGATGCAGTGAGGGAGGACATGCAGATAGTTGGAGTCAGAGTAGAAGATACAGAGAACAGGGAGAGATGGAAATCAATGATTCGCTGAGGCAACCCCTGAAAGAAAGGGATAAAGCCGAAAGAAAAAGAGATGTTTATTTTTTTATTTTAATTCCTCATGACATACCAGCATGCTGTTTGTGATGAACTAGTAGATTGTGATGTAATGTAATGCTACCATTAATTACCAGTAATTAGCCAAGTTTTTTAAAATACCACACTGGGTTGTAGTATTAAAAATGCACCTGAATTTAAAAAAAGCATTAAGTAGACCTTTGAATACAAAGAAAATTCAAAATCTTCAAAACTCTAACAAAATCCATTGCTTATGTTTATGTTATTTATTTTACCTTCAATTTGTCTGCAATAAACTGGAGCACCTTCTCTGGCTCTTTCACCTCCAGCCTGTTCTCCTTCACAGGTTTGACCACTCTGCTTTCAAACTCTTTCTTGGCTCTCCTGATTTCTGCCAGACGCAATTCCGACTCCTTCAAGGAGGCCTGGAGAGACAGCGTGAGCCAGTGAGGAGAAATGTCCAACCTGAGTGTACTTTGTTCACATTGTGTACTACAAACCAACCTTATAGTTGTCTTGCATTCTCTCATATCTGTGTTTGAGGTTTTCATGGTCATGTTGTGTCTCTGTTCCTTCTTTGTTAACCACGTAAAGTTTCTGTTCAAAGCTTAGCTGCTTAAGTCGGTCTGAGATTGAGTTACGGGACCTCCGTCTCCACCCAAAGCCCTAAGACATAAAAAGTCATGCATTTACATATGAACATTAAAATATGTTAAACAAAGGTCATTGTTACATTTTGCAATGTATCTAAACCCAATTATCACCATGTCCCAAAATCTCAGTGTTTGTACTTGACCTGAAAAGTGTTCAACACACTGGGATATTAAATCTGTGGGTATGTTCATCTTGTTTCCTTACTATATTCTCTAGCTGTGAGCCTCCTGCAGGTCCTGGTCCTGGTCCTGGTCCTTCTTCTCCAGTCTGAGATACCAAATCAAGTGGCTCTAGTCGACTGATGAAACTTTCAAACAAGTCATTCTCCACCTGCAGGGTATCAATAGAAGACCTTGGAAGACAGAGAAGAAAAGAAAGCTTCAGTCTGGTAAGGAAAGAGTTGTTAGCTCACATTAGCTTGCTATCCGTTATGATACATAAACAAGCAGCTTAATAAAGCTAGATATTGCTTACCAATGGCTTACTGTGCTGAAGACTATTCTTTTACCTTAGGTCTTGGACTTGTTTGAATACGAGTTGTTTTTCATCCTTATCTAAGAAAGTCTGATGTTTTTCTTGCATGACCTCCAGTTCCATGGTTGTTAGGGTAAACACGCACGCTGAACTGGTTGCTAGGCGCTGCCCTCAGGCGGCTATTTAAAATCAGAAACTTGTGAATAATTAAAGACTGCGCAATAGAAACAATCTGAATTCTCACATCATTTATATGTACAATAACATTCAGACTTTTAGGTAATGTCTAACATGTATTTGCTAACACTTGAGTAGTATTGGGATTTGAATATTTATTTATATTAATTATACTTCCTCATTTAAATCATTTCTCATTATTTACATTTACATTTATTATCACATTTATTATTCATTATCACGACATAGTTTCCTTTTATTATTGACTTTTGTCCAATATATTATAAGTTTTCTGACAGACAGATTTACATTAAGATAGTATTCCGGTAATCACATATATTTTCATTGAGAGTATGTGCTTTTTTATTGTTTCTAATAATATGAAATAGTATACTATGAGACAGTTTAAAATGACAAAAGCATTTATTGATATTGTGAGACACTTGTAAGTTTCGTTTTCTACCCAGCAGTTGTCAACAGCGACGTCAGTGTTGCATTTTAGAGTCCAGTCCTCAGTCAGTCTCCGCAGCTTCATCTGCCACAGGGTCGGACTTCGTTCAGGATGACCTCCTCTATCTCCACTTTTATCACCTCAACTCTGTGCGACCACGGGGGAAGTTTAAAATACAAGCGCCTGAGAGAAGCGATCGCCAACACTTTTCCTGGCGCTGTGTTGGACCGGGCCCTGCTACTCGAAGACAGTAAAATAACCATCATGCCCGGTAGTAGTAAAGCGACCCCCGGTCAGTGCCTCAGCCCCGACAGTCTGCTGGTGGCTAAGACCAGTTTGCGCATCTGCCAGAAGAAATTTGCGGAATGTGCGCAGTGTGATTGTTTACACCTGTGCAGGTATTATGCTTGCGGCGACTGCACCTTTGGGTGAGTTCCAAATTTATATCCCTTATAGTTATTGTCCCATTCTCTGAATATTGTGCAATAGTTTGTTGACGTTAAAGTTTATAAGTCGACATTTTATTTAAGGAAATAGAAACCATTTCCGTTTAAATAAAGGGTAATGTTTTAAGTCACTGTTTGACTATGGACCGAGCTCAAACTGTACAATACAGTATTATTATTATCACTAAAGTAGTATATTTCATACGAGTTGTTATCTGGGAATTAAATCAACTGCTGTAAGTGTTTTCCCCTCTGTACTTTGTACTGTTCTATAAGTCGTAGCCATTTTGCTACTTTTCGGCCCAGTGTTTTCTAAATGGTAGTCAAGGCCTAGAGCAGCCTCTCATACACATAGTATTTGTCTTTAGTAAGAAACACCCAAACTGCTGGGCAACTGTGTGACATGCAGCGATGCCGAGTGGACATGGATAAAGTTGAACTTGCACTTAGTTTTTCTTTTTTTTTTTGGGGGGGGTGGCTTTCATCCTGGACTGTTTGTGTGTGCTGAAGCTGTGAGTAGGCCGTAAGGTAAACCACGAAAAGTCCTTTGGAAATTGAATTCCGCTCCGACGTCTGGGAACTACACGATCTCAACTTCATAAATAAGAACGAAATAAAGTTCGTCGCAAAATATCCTGCCCGTTTTTATATCGATGCATTTTTTGCAGTGCTGATGGAGGCAAAATGACTGGTTAAGATTACCAATCATTTTCTTATGCTGTTTGTATAGTTTTATATATTGTACATACTGTATGTATAATAAAGTTCTTTAAGATTGATCGGTGTTGTTTTTAGTTAGGAGCGAATAAATGAACGAATGAATAAACAAATGGTCCATGTCATTGATTACTTCCTTTTATTGATCAAAATGACTTAACAGAGAAAGTTCACCTTATCGTCTATTTGCCTCGTTGTGCTTCGTGCATGCGGCTATGTATAAAGCACTGTTTAGAATCCATTTGGCCCGCTTTAGAAGACTCTTTATCAGTAACGTTAAGTAGAACCACGGAGGAAGCCGTGTTGCCGGAAGTGTTGACATCAGCTACTCGATTGGTGTAGCACGATCACGTGTCGAACAGTGCCACCCGAAGACGCTAGTTCTTTATAAAATGCATCGATATAAAAAACGGGCAGGATATTTTGCTGTAAGTTTAACGTAACTCGTTCTTATTTATGTTGTTGAGATCGTGTAGTTCCCAGACGTCGGAGCGAGATGAAACGATGCTGTGGTTCACCTTATGGCCTAGAGGGGTGATATCTGTTTATTGAGGGTGGTCCACCAATACACACATATGGGATTAGGTCAAGATATGTCAGCTGTTTACCTAGACATGATAAAGTGATCACAAATCTAAATCATTTTCATTGATCAGACATTGTGAGGCTCTCAGCTAAAAACATCAAAATCTGACACTTAAAATAAACCATATACACTGCATGTTGCTGAGAGCCACAGCATTTGTACATCACTCAAATAAATTATCTATTTTCCTCTAACATGTAAAAATGAATTCACCTACTGTTATGGATGCAGTTGGTCTAATTACTTCCTATTATTTATATTATATAAGATCACATAGTTATAGAAATCTCTACTTTTTACTTGGGCACCATTCAGTTTGTGTTGTATTTACTAAACATTTGTAAGATTGGAATAATTTGATTTAATGAACGGTTTGAGACAACAATACAAAGACTCAAAAATAAAAAAACGTGACATTTCTTTGTTCTTTTAATTTTATTTTCTTAATTATTTAATTTTAAGGTTTAAGTGCAAAAGTCCTCACAGTCTGGCTACTCCACACAATGCACAGCTTTTGAAGAGCTATGGTCTTCAAGACTTAACAGAAAAACAGCTCTTCCAGCTGTTGTTGCAGAATGATCCGTACCTGCTCCCTGAGGTGGGTTTGCATTCAGTAGAAGATGGAGGTAGGAATTTACACTGTACATATAACAATGACTGCAACGATGTGGTCGCTGTTCTGTGTATACCTGTGCAGATTTGCCTGCACTACAACAAAGGCAACAGTGAGCATGGTTCCTGCAAGTTCAGCACGTCCTGCACCAAGCTCCATGTCTGCCAGCACTATATCCAGGGTGACTGTAAGTTTGGCGCTTCATGCAAGAGAAGCCATAACATAAACCCTCAGGGAATGAAGATGTTCCACGGCTTTAGTAAGGAGAATATAATGAACCTTCCAGCCATCTACAGAAATAAGAGCATCATTACCAGCAAACCGGCTCCTGTTGTTCCTGGTAATACAACGTACTTATTCATATTTTCTCACATTATTCTATAAGAGTTATATTTGAATGTAACAGACAGTCTGTCTTCTGCAGCGTCTCCTACAAGGAATTTTCCCTCTCAGCCGACCACTTCCGGTGTCCCTGAATCTAAACCCATGACTGATTCTGATAAGAACAAAATATGCCTGTTCTTTATTCTCAGAAAATGCAGCTTCAATGGTAACAATGTACAAATGTAGTTAAATTATTTGTGTGTAAAAAAATGTTTTCCTTTAGAATAATGTTTCCTCTTCCTCTTCCCAGAGAAGTGCGTCTATGACCACTGGCACTTACCATACAGGTGGCAGGTCCTGGACACCAACGGTGAGACCTGGAATGATTTGCCTAATATGGAAGAGATTGAGAAAGCCTACTGTATCCCTGGGAATGAGACAAGCGGCACAACTCAACAATCTTCCTTGTCAGGGATTTTCAGTTTTTTGCGTGTACAAAGGTGAAAGAGAGATATTTGATTTTTAGTTAATAAATATATATAATGTTGATTAAAATGTTAATTTACATTAAAAATTAAAAATATTGAGTATTTACATTTCGGGTTTTCCGTCTTGCAAGTCCCCCTGTGGATGGGGTGGATTTTATGGCGATGAATATCAGAGGGTCTCCTGTTCGACGACTGTCCACGGCCTCTTCTGTATCGAGACCACCTCACTTCATCCTCACGACTCAATGGCTTTGGTACTGGAAGGATGAGTCTGGACAATGGCAGGAGTATGGGCAGGTCAGTGACATGTCCTTGTTCAAGTCCTTTGTCCTTATATTTGATGGTAAAATACAAATTCTTCAGATTCTGCTCTCTGCACTTTTGTTCTTCTTTAGGACGATGCTGCGGGGGCATCTGTCACTTCGGAAACTCTGGAGAACGTGTTCCTGGCTGACAAGGATGTACAAATTCCATTTACTGCTGACAAACATCAGTATGTTCTCCACTTCAAAGGAGGAGCAGGTTTCCCTCAAATGTATCAAGAGAACATCAAATTTAAGACGAAGAGGGAAGTCAGACGGAGACCACGCTTTGTGTCTTTTCAAGATGTGAAGATGAAGATCCAGAGGTACCCCCAGCACCCCACCCCCCCCACACACACAGTCTTGTTTGGTCCATCACAGTGTTGTGGCTTGGGTAAAATTTTTGATAAAGCAAAGCCAACTCAGCTTGGCTTTTTCACAGACAACAGAGTGCAGTACCATGTTTTCAACACTGATTCACTTGACATTTAGAGCGGTGCTGTTTTACACATCATAAAATGTTGTCTCAAAGAGAGAAGAGGAGGTGATGACAGTGTTTTTATGAAATTACACTTTCAGCTCTTATCACAGAACTCACGTAAGTGTTTTGACTGCTTGATGTCACACAACAGTTGTAAATTAATTCTCCTCTATTAAACGACAAGGTTTTATTATGTTAAGAAGATTGACGTTAAGATATTATCATGAGGACATCTTCACACCAGATGTGTCTGTCTTCTGGATGATACTCCACATTGTCTTCCTCCTCCCAAAGGTCATAATTTCCACCAGAGAATCTTATAATTTAGTGAAAAGATTTTTTATTTTTTTTATTTTGTTGAAATAGAGGTTCCTGACCAAGTCAAAAAGCCTTGATGCAATAAACACATTTTTTATTCTTTTATGCATTTAAAATTTAAAACGGGTCGGTGCCAACCCCAACACAAGATGAAGGTTAAAGAGATAAATGTACGAGCTGTGCATTTTACATGAAAACAAGTATAACTGCTGAGCAGCTGTGACCATGTCGGCTGGCGCTGGTGGCTGTAAACCTATTTCTGAAACAAGTGAGAAGGGTCAACAAACTGTACGAACAAAGTATCTGTTGATAATGTGTTCATAATAGAGGCAGACTCAATAAGTTAATCAATCTTTATTTATATGGCACTTTTTATAGCTCGAAGTGCTTTACATAATAAAAGCAACACACGCACACGTTTGTACACAGGTGTACAAACATATTCATTCATATGAATATGTGAATTCATATTCATACGTGCAAGTTAACGCACATTCACATACGTAAGAACAGGGAAAGTTTGAATTTAAAGGAAAGAAGGAAACACTATCTCCTCTCCTCAATTTTCAATGAGGAAAACTTAAAAATAATAATAAAATATAATAAATAATAAAAATAATAAAAAAATAGAAAAATAATTTCATAAATAATGAAGGTGTGGAGTAAAAAAAGGAGCATTCGATACAGTGTTTCCCACAGGATTTTAGGTCGAGTGGCTTAGGAATTAGACAAATAGTCCACTACATTGTTGAGTCTTTGGACACATGTCAAACTCAAGCCCCGTGGACGAAATGTGATATTCACCTTACAGTTGTAGAACAACAAGAAATACTTAAGAACTACGTGTACCAGGGTGAAGTATTCTACAGACGTTTCCAAATAGTGTACAAATGTGTCAGCTGTACAATGTTAGGAGAGTTTTTTTTTCTGACTGTTGGTCTCTTATGTTTGTAGTGGGTCGTCACACAGCTCCAGCTCCAGCTCAGCTGACACTCTCCCGTCCTACTGGGATAAGAATGCTCAGCCTGATATTGGGTACAAGGTATGTTTTACAGCCCATGTTTTGGCGCGTGATTGTACCTCTTTTCCCTTCTGTGTTCTGTTGTGAACGTTTGACTTTGTACTGTGTCGTTCTACTCTTTCTGTTCACGTGTCAGCTTGTTCCTCTCTCCAAGTCTGCGAAGGACTATGAAATGATCAGGATGTTGTTCAAGCGCACTATGCCTCTAAAGGAAGTCAAAAGCATCCAGAGGATTCAGAACCCCTCACTGTGGAAAGTCTTTCAGTGGTAACTGTTGCACCCAAACCTACAATGTTGCACTATCAATTGGTCTATGGTTATAAAAAAGTACTCTCTACATATTAAGGCAAAAGGAGCAGATGGCAAAGAGGAACAATGGAAAAGCTGTGAATCAGCAGTATTTGTTCCACGGAACTGACGATTCTCTGATCGATGCAATCTGTGAGCACAACTTTGATTGGAGGATGTGTGGCGTTCATGGTGTGACCTACGGCAAAGGTAAAGTCTTTTTTTTTCCTTTTTCCTCGTGTTGTGGTGCATAGTGGCTCTGTGGGAACACCCTCAATTTCGTTGTACCCCCATGTTACCATGACAATAAAGACTATTCTATTCTATTCCAGAAATGGGACAGAAGTTTCTAAGTCATTGGAAAAAAACAGTGGCTTTTCTCAAATGGAGTTGTTTGAGGTTTTTTCATGAAGTCTTTTGTGAATCTACGGAGCATTACGATTTTAGTAATTGTCTCAGCAGCAGTCATGGGCACAGATGGCACTAGTGAAAGGGGAGATGGGGGCAGGAACCCCCCCCAGATTCACAGTTACCCCGATGTGTCTCTACACTGTGTTAAAACTAATGGTGCGTTAAAGTTGTACACGGATGTCAGCAATTCATCTGTTTTCCACTGATTTTAAGAACTCTGCAGTTCTAGGAATTTTCTAGGAATCCATCATCTCCCATGTCTGCTGACTGAGTGTCAATAAGGATAAAGTATAACAGATGAAGTCTTTAGAAAACGATCCCACTGCATGTGTCAGGATGCAAGTAATTGGTTGAATTATACATGAAGTCAAAAAGTGTGAGTTGTTCCCTGTGATCAACTGTTGTCATTAGTATTTTCTATGTAAATTTGCTCCAATACTGCAGTTTTGTCACGTATTTCAGCCTTTTACCTGGTGTTGTTTTATTGCATGTGTGATTCAATGTTTTGTTTTGGCATATATTTATTAACACCCTACACATGATGACGTGTTTTTGGTGGAATTCACATCACACCATTGCCATTTGGATTCTTCCTACATCTTTGTTGTTTACTCCACAAAAAAAAAAAAAAAGAAAAAAAGTGAATAAACTTTAAATATTCTATTTTTTCAGGGAGTTACTTTGCCAGAGATGCGTCCTACTCAGACAGATACGTCAGGGCAACCGAAAATACCAAGACCATGTTTGTTGCTCTGGTCCTGGTGGGGGAATACGTCAGAGGAACGAGCAGCTATGTCCGACCTCCTGCCAAAGTAAACGGTGGAAATTTCTATGACAGCTGCGTTGATCGTGAAGATGACCCTGGCATCTTTGTCATCTTTGAAAAACAACAGATTTATCCGGAGTACCTTATTAAATACTGCTAAGACCTGATGAGGATGTATCCTTCACTGGCAAATACTGTTTGCTAATAGCCGTGTCAGCAAGTGTCCTTGACCTTATTTTGTGAAGTGACAGCTTTGCGGCAGAAACATTTTCATGTGAAAGGTTGAAAAATAGTTGACCTCCGTGCCAATTATTTTGTTATCAGGTCACTCAAATGTTCATTGGTATTTGCGGTGAATATAATTGATTTAATTTTTTTACAGGTCTATTTCAAAACCTTTTTTGGATGTCTTCTAGTAAACAAAGGCAGGTGTATTTTCTTTAGTTATTCATTACAAACACATTAAAAAAAGCAACTTGCACTCTTTCTTAAAGAGTAATGAAATCAAAAATAGATAAAAGATAAAATCCAAATGTATGTTTTTTAAGTGATATTTGATAAACATATTACAGCTATGGATTAACCATAATTACTCATGATTTATTTTTTTTAGAAAAGCTGAGATTTTTCAGTCTTGCTGGAACAGAAAGACAAATAATCCAAATAATGGGACTATTAATTCGATTATTTGGATGTCAAAAAAAGAAAAACTGTAACTCAAAGTACTTCATATAGATGGTGGATTTCAGTCATTACTGTGTCTTGACTGTAGAACAGCTTGTAAATCGTGTGCATAGTCAGTTCGAATCTTTAAGGAAGCTGTTGTCTTCAACAACATTAATTCTGTCTACATTCACATGAAATCCACTGTCAATCAGTTTGTCAGCTGTAGACTGTCCTGGACTGTCAGTCAGTTTGTCAGCTGTAGACTGTCCTGGGCTGGACTTATGGCCTAAAAGTGAAGCCTCTGCAAAAGCATGGTGGGTTGAGATTGTATTTTAAATATGATATCCAGTACTTTACAGTTCGCCGTCAGTCTGCCTGTGCATCATGTTCATTTCGCCAATTACTTATCGCAGTAACGCATTATTTTCTGGATGAAAATTAACTCTAAATGAAACATAAGAATGTGCTTCTAATTACTGTGTCTGCATGACAAATACATTAATGAATAGTTTCCACTCATTAAGCCCATAAAACCCAGCTTTTATTGAAGCAACAATATTGTTGAAACAGCAGTAAGAAAACGGGTTAGTAGAACAACAACCCGGCAAACTACGTCATCGTCTTGCATCGTCATCGCAAGAATTTAATTTCATCAACCAAACCAAAACAGTTCATTATACCTCTCCCATTTAAGACTCTTCATTCATTATGTGTTCCAGGTTTAGGATATCTGCTGACGGTCCTGAACCATTTGCATGTTTTCACAGTCATTTGTGCTGGTTTCAAGTCTCTCCTGTACACTTCTGTTTCTGGTTGGTGTCACTGTAAAAACTAGAAAGTGAAACATCACCCTGTGTAGAAGAGAAGATTGTTTGTCTTTTCTCACTTGTCTTTCATCATGTGTGTGTCTACTTCGTCTGCCGCACTTTAATTCATTACATTAATCACAGTAACTCTTCTGTTTATGACTCAATGTGCAGTGAACCCACAGCGTATGGTTTGGATGTAACTTCATTTGCTTCGTTCAGTGATTTTCACAAATATGCCATCTTTTGGTCCCAGAGTCCTCCATGACATCAAGTCAAGAGGAACCTGCACAAAAAAGAGAGAAAAAAATATGTGCCATGGTCTGTTGTGGCAGTGTAGGTGTGTACTGTCTGTTGTTTTGACTGTTACTTAATTTGCTCATTAACATTGTTGGTCAGGATGAGGTGACGCAGCAGAGGCTTTTGTGATTGGTTTTGTGGCAGCGAGAACATTTCTATCTTGTTTGTTAGGGTGTGGTTTTGTCAAACATCCAACATGTAGATACCACACCTCTGATTCTGAACCTTGTTACCAACAATAAATACATGTTTTGTGATTAAATGAAGCTTTCGATTGTGGCTATTAGTGTTATTATTTTGGGCCCAATGGAAGGATCCCAAAAAGCAGCAGGACCTGCTCACTTATCCCCACCCACTCCACATCCCACTTTGAGACCCGAGGTCAGATCCCTCCAGGAGGAGGGTTAACAGGGTATGCAGTCGGCTCTAGGCTAGACTCAGGGGAAAGGACGACCCTGCCTTGCATAGTCCCATGAGCTGCGCACCCTAAATTGCTCAAAATCAATCCAAGAGTCAATATTTACTAAAATTAGCTAAAATACTGGAAAGGACACGTAAAAGCTAAAGCACAGCGACCGTGTTACACTTTATACTGTAATATAATTGGAGTACGTTTAGAAATTCAAAATTTGACTTAATTTTGACTATTCAGTAAAGTAAACTAAATGCAAAGGTTGACCTCTGGATTATTGATCTTGGTAAAACCCTTCATATTTCAGTATAAGTAGTTGAGTAGTTAAATAATTAAATGAAATAAACAGTTAGCTATATAGGCAGTTCCAGCAGATATAATAGCGTATGAGGTGTATTACAACCAGATTTATACAACCATTATCACTAGGAGTTACTATGCATACAGTTAGGTCAGGTTAGGTATTTGATCACCCTGTGATTTTGCAAGTTCTCCCACAATCATGGACTGGTCTGAAATTTTCATCATAGGTGCATTTCCACTGTGAGAGACAGAATCTAAAAAAAAAAAAATCTGGAAATAATATTGTATGATTTTCTTATCAATGCAAAATCACAGGGTGATCAAATACCTATTGACCTCACTGTACATAATATTATAAAGGATATTTATGAGTAGTATATTTATACACAGTATATTAGTTATACATATATACACATCTACATATGTTTATTGTAAACTGTCAAACCCACCTTTGTCTCAGTGCAGGCCACCACACTGAATTTATTAAACAGACGAACTAACGCCATCTTGAGCTCCAGCTGAGCGAGCTTCATCCCCACACAGTTACGGGGACCGGCCCCGAATGGTAGATACACAAACGGGTGTCGACCGGCTTTGGCCTCTGGCGTGAATCTGAAGAACAGAAACATTCTTTATAGAATCAGTTGTAACACAGAAAATAAATGAGGAGAAAACGGGAAAAATTATCCAATTTAACTGAATTGGTCTGAAAACCATTATTAATTCACAGCAATAATGACAGGCAGAACAATTAAATACGCTTCCACTAGGTGGCAGCAGATAGTTATAAAAAACTAAACTCAGAGCTATTGAAGATCTTTGTGTATTTTTCTTCAATTTCTGCAGTACATTAGTGTTGTGTTCAACTAAACAGGACCAGGTTTCATGCTGAGTGAGTAAATTGATACCAGAAGATAATTTTTATACAGTATATTTTATATTTTCTGGTGGTGGTTTTTGTGATTTTTTCTGATGTCAAATATGTGCTGTGGTTGGAAAACACAGATTATACCTATAGACAAATCAATACGTCATAAATCCTACATAGAATACCTACAACTACTACAAGCTCCTACCTTTCAGGGATAAACTTTTCCGGCTCTGGCCAGTGCTCTGGGTCGTGATGTAGGAAACCAGCCGGGATCTCCAGAATGGCTCCTTTGGGGAGGAACTGTCCACCCACCACACAGTCCTGACTGACTTCTCGTGGAAATCTTCAAACAATGAAATGGTAAAGAATAATTCTACTTTTTTTAGTTTATCCTTCCCTTCCTTGTCTGATATCTTTCCTTACCTGAATGCAGGAGGGTAAAGACGCAACACCTCACTGATGACCATGTCCAAATACTTCAGCTCCTGAATATTTGTGTAATCTAGGGACTCCTGCAACAATAGCCAGAGGGTGTTAATCCCATTACAACCAGATATACTGGAAAGGAAGAAAGGCACCCTGGTTAATACACGCACATATTTAGAAAAGAACTCATCCACTTCGTCCTGTACTCTGAGCTGACATTCAGGATGAAGAGCCAGGAGGTAGCAGGTGAAAGCCAGAGTGTTGCAGCTGGTTTCATATCCTGCCAAAATAAACATAAAAGCCTGACCCACGATCTCGTCCTCAGTTATCGTCTTTCTCTGAGAACTACGGCCTGGCTTTGGCTCCTGTGCTGGAGGGCTGGTGTTGCCCTGCTCTGAGGCCTGTTGGGTCATGTGACTAAGCTCGTCTGTGTGGTTCAACGTATCAAACTGCTCCAAAGACAAAGTCTCTTTGCTGCTTCGAGCGTCCAGCATCAACTGAAGGAAGTCTCTGCGCCTCTACAAACCACAATAAAAACCATCAGATACAAATACAAGAATGAAGCAGGTACAGAGACTCATTCAGATTAGAAATTACCTCATTTTTTTCATTTTTACCCTTACCATTTCTATGTTGGACTTCATTTCTTTATAATCACAAAATCAGAAAAAAACGATAAACGCTCCAGAGCAGAGGTCAGAGCCTCGCCTCAGCTAAATTACAGACGAGTCAAATTTAGACGTGACAAGGGAGATAACGTGTAAAAGTGGACCTGTTCAGGAGGCTGCTCTTCTCTCTGCTTGACGATTTTCTTAATACTGTTGATGAAGAAATTATTCATTTGGTCTCGTCCTTTATTGGGGATAAATCTGGCCAGAGGAGCCATGATGGATGGAAAAGCAACTGCACACACACAAGCAAAAAAAAACAAAACTGTTTTACATGTAAATTTGAGATTTGTATATATATAACATTTTGTATTGCAATTTGAAATAAAAACTATTAAAAAATTGGATGAAGGTCAACAACAGCATTATTTTTGCTCAATAAATCAAATATAAAATTTGATTTATTCAGAAAAATCATTGTTTTCCATGCATCATGATTGAAATGTGTATTCAAGTCGATTTGTCCTCTTAAATTAAAAGGTCACAGTACAAATTCCTTAATATATGTTCCAATTATGATTATAAAAGTTCATGATTAAATGTCATATAACACGCTGGACTGACTGAAAAAAAGCATCAAGGGCCTGAAGTAACTGAAAGAAAAAAACATCTGGGCGTGGCGGACAAACGGATCATCTTGGTTCTCCTGAGAGTCCAGCTGAGTTGCAAACGCCACACTGGCGATAACATCCATCGAGAACCAACCAAAACATCTGCAAAGCACAGGGTGCACATGTTTTAAAATGAAGTAAAAATCTGAATTATTGATAAGAGCTTTAATAACAAGGTTTGGTGGATTGTGTTTTGTTTTTTATTTTGTAGAATTACTTGTGGATGTCAAAGGCCTCTCCTGACTCTGCATACACGTTCAGGTTTTTCATGAGAACATCAGTGGCTGTGTTAATGAGAGGAACCATCTATGGGAGAACAACATGTAACAAGGGTTAATACTGCTCATTCATACACGTCAAAAACAAGGCTAACGTGTAAATAAAAGAAATAAAAAAAAACACTGTTTATACCAGTGCTTCCCACAGCACTGGTTTGATAGAGGACATTTTTATCAGCAGCTCAGTGCCAGCGGCCTTCATCCTAAATTTCAGAGGATTTTACTAAATCTGCATGTTTAATTAGATAATATATTTTTCCAGAAAAAGTTTATAAATAGTCTGACAACATGAGCTCATGTCCTTTCTCTCTTCATCTTACAGCTGCAGTCTTTACACATCCAAGCCAAACTTTATTTCTTTTCAAATCTGTCAAATGTGAATTAAACCAGGCTGGCTAACTACACCTCTTTCATCTTGGCAGCACTGAAGGCTGGGGTCATGATGCTCCGCACCCTTTTCCAGTGTTCATTTCTCAGCATGAGCAGACAGTCAGTTATGGGTTTTTTGGCAAAACTAAAAGCCTGGACAGAGAAATGTAACAATGAGCATAAACACAAAGGAGGTTTTTGGCATTAGCACTAAGGGAATAATCTTACCATTCTGTTTGTGAAGCTGCTGAAATCTCTGACCATAATTTGTCTGAGCATGTCTGGGTCAGCTACCACCACCACTGGTCTGTGCCCCAAATAGTATCTTAAACATTAAAAAAGAAATTGCAATTATAATATTGTAATAACTGTCTAATATAATAATAATAGTAGAAATATTGTTGTTTTGATCAAAGATCAAACTCTAAAAGTGAAGACAAGACTTACCCACAAACTCTGCCATGACTCCTGATGAGATCAGATATTGGGCCAAAGAAACCCTAAAAAAGTCAAATTATTTTTTAATCTGAAATCCAAACAATTAAATTTATAAAGACTTCGTGATGATGGTGTTACTCATTTTGCTGGTAACAGTCGAGGGAATACTTCTTATTACCAATATTGTCAATGATTAGGAGACAGAGAGAGTTAGAGAAAACTGTTTCCTGTTTGTCTGCACTGGTTGAAATACAGATAACGCAATGTTACCAAACATTTAGGTTTCCTTTTAAATAAAAAACAAACCAAGTTTCAAGTCCAATATGAAACAAAATCAGTTTGTAATAACTCACTTTAGAAGCAGAGAATTCAAATCTCAACCATGGCTTAAGAAAAAAAAACAAAGGCCAAATCCAGACATGACATGGCTGCCAAGTACATTTATTCTTATTTGCAATTAGAAATTGCTGTTATTCCTCGTGCTATAATTTGTCTTTATATTTCTACCTCATTGATATGATAATACCACAAACTTGCTGATGATATGGTGATAGTGAGTGTCACTCAGATGTTCCACGAAGAGTAAGAGTGCGAATCTGAGTCTATGTCATGGACGGTGGTCGTACCTCACGGAACATGAACAAGTTTCCAAAGAAAGGCACTGGCTTTGGATGTTTGATGCCATGTCGAGAAAGGAATGAAAATGGATTAACTGAATACCTGGAAGACAGAACAGAATGGGGAAGAGTGACCGTATTTGTATGTTCTGTAACAGTAGGGCGTACAGTCGTAAAGCAGGAAGTTGAACTGACAATATTTGTTCTGCGGTTTCAGAGACAGAGAACAAAAACACAGGTTAAAAACCAAATCTCGATGTCAGCCGAGTAACTTAACAAATATGAATCATTTGAAGTCTATACAGTACTCACAAGTAGAGAAGACACAGAAAGATTAGGAAGAGGCTCAGTGCTACTGAAAATCCACTGCCCTCCATGTGGAAAAATGTCTTCTACAGCTTCCAAAAAACAGATATCAGCCTTTCACTGACAAAGTAGGTCTTGAAATTGAGAAGAGAGCTTTAGTCAATATAATAGTTTTATTTATAAAAGCTAACTATAGTTACCACTAAGTTCACATTCAAACCATCCCAGATTCTCTCTAAATCAGGTCATAGTTTTACTGGGTTAAAAAGCATCTTTTTATTGACCTTTGTCAATTTGTGAGCTGCACATTTACATGTAGGTTTTCCATGACACTGTGTTAATGATTTGTTTCACAGTGCTCACTTAAACCGTACATTTAAACTAGCTTTTAAATCAACAGTTATTTATTCTCCAGCTAATACAAGATAGACGTATCGTTAGGAAAACAATGAGACGTTAAACAGATTAGGGTCTTAAATGTTCATTTAAAACACATTAACACAAATGTTCATTTAAAACACATTCACATTCACAACCAAAACTCTGGTTAATTTTTCAGCATCTTTAGCCTCTGACCAGTGACCACACAAGGTTGTTGTGTTATTCATGTCACTAGAAACATCCGGACTCTGCTATGTTACGTTGTTGCTGACAGAAACAAGAGTTTGTTGTTACGTCAGAAAATTTTCATGTAAAATACCATCGCGGTTTCTATCTTTGTACAGTTATAGAACAGTAAAAGTACATGCATGTGAAGCCTTCACTCACCTCAGTGGCACTGTGACAAACAGTGGTTGTCAACATTACACGTAGAATAGTGATGTGCGGATCGATCCTGAAATCGATACATCCGATTCTGGATCTTTATGCTCTGAAATCAATTCTGAAATCAAAATATCGATACTTTTGATACTTACGCATTCTGAGATGAGGTGTGTGCGTCATGCGTAAGCACAGGGGCTCTACTCCGTGCTCTCACTCAGTCACTATTGATGGTAATTTCGGCTCTTTTTTAGAGATCTGGTTCTTTTGGCTCAGTTCACTGAAAAAATCCGACTCTTTCGGATCCCAAATGGCTCCTCAGATTATTTATTTATTTTTTTTTTATTATTGTTTTACAAATAACATGTTTTGGTGAATAATGAATTAGAAATGTAAAAAATAAAGACTATCAAATGCTTATTCAATGAATGGCTTCATTTATTCATTCATCTTTATTTAACCTCTGTAAAAATATATTATGAAATACAAAAACAGAGACCCATCGGAACAGGTTAGGTTAATTGAATAAAAATAAAAGCAGCACTCAGGTAAAAAAAATACCCCATCCCCGCCCCATTCTCCGTAGTGTGTGTGTATGCAAATGTAGCGCATCCCCTCCCCTCCCCCCTGAGCTCCTGCAAGTTGCGTCTGTGTGCGTGCGCAATGCTTCCCCTCCTCCACCCCGTTTGTTTTCGAATCGCGCATCACTATTAGTCAAAGTCTTTTTGTAAAATGTCGGAACGCAAAAAATAAGTCACTTTAATTTTTTTTGATGTTTTTACAATTGTATTTATTTCTTTTCAGAGTTTGAAACGAAACAGATTTTCAGATTTTCTCTAAATATGAAATTTAAAAAAGAGCTAAAAATCCTTCTTTCATTATATTCTATAAATAATTGAGAATAGTATTTTATTCTTCTGGACTATACCTGTTCTCTTTTGTTTTCATTTACCCATTTACTTCCTGTGTCTTGTTAAATTAACAAAAGAGTTGCTGATTTTCTCATTGTTTGGCTCGGCTGTGCATCCTACCTCTTGGGGACGTGTTTTGTTTTTCTTGTCTGGTCCCTGATGCTGTCTTAACTGAGTTCTACTTCTGTGCTTGTGTTCACTTTTATTCCCGATGTTCTATTGTTAGGAATTTCAGAGAAATTACGTCCTTATTACTTTTGATATGAGTTTAGTCTCCCTGTCCACGTTTTTGTCATACAGGAACTGTGGAACAACAATTGAAAAATGATGCATTAAAAAAAAAAACTCCCTATATCATCTCATTTGTTCCCATCGCTACAGTTAGCATACATGCTGTGTAAATAATTCATACTGTGGAAAAAGCCCAAAGGCACTGTTGATTGTCATACTTCAGCGGCGAAACCACGTGGCCTCCTTTTGCAGTTTAAAATAACGCTAGAGGGCGCCAACATACCATACTATTTTCTGATGCTAAATACATAAAAATAACCTTTTTCATATTAAGGCTATTGTGCTTAATTAAAAACTGGTGCTGAATTTAGGATGCTGATATACAGTGTTTAGGTAGAAAATAGAATATGGCCTGTTGGGTTGTCATACACTGTCAATGAACCTTCTGTTTAAAATGCCTGAAGGAGTCTGATAAATTGCATATTTACAAGGCTTCAAAGCAGTTCTTTGTTTAGCAACATTATAAATATGCTGATTTTTCCATAAGGTTAAGGTGAAAATATATGCACATTTCTCACTCACTCTGTGAATACACAAAACTTTATGTAGGCAAAAATAGTCTACTAGCTGCTTTACTTCAAAGCCATGTCAAAAAAGTAAAATTAGATTTACTTTCAGTGTTTTTTTTATTACTTGCAGATTTAAATAAAAAAAAAATCTAAAATCATGATGTCTAATTGGATCAGTTTTTGAACAGAAAAGTAATCTAATTCACAGCAATAACTGTCTGATTAGTTAGATTGGTTCATTATAGCAATAAACAGTGTCAAAACCTAATTACCACATGAGAAACATGTATGGTAAAGCTATAATGCTAAATTTATAAAAATAAAAATAAAAATAAAAAATTTGAGTCAAATTAAATTAAAAAATGTACATAATTGAGAAGCAGACAGTAAACCAGGAGGAGCTCAGGAATATTTCTTCTAGTTCAAGATCAAGGTTGAATTTTTTCACTGCTTTTATATGCAAATCAAAGCTTTTTCTATACAAAAAAAAAAAAAAAAAAAAAAACAAAAAACAAAAAAAACCACAGAGCAAACCCTCTGTCGTCGTCTTTCCCTCTGACACTATATGAAACACAACGGAACAATGTTGTGTAAGTACCACAGCGAATTTAATAAATTGTATTTGTACAAGCAAATATACTGTAAGTACACATTTGACATTCAAGTGTTTATTTTTATTCAGTTTTACCGGCAGAACTACCACCATGCAAGAAACTGATTTTAATTGATTCTTTAGGAAATTATTCCACGATCCCAGAAGACATTCCTAAACGTTTGATTTAATAAACCCATTTTCGACCAACTTCTGACTCTGCTCTCCAGCCACCATCATTTCCTGTCTGAACTAAATGCTGCATTTTCCCTTAAGGATAGGACACAAGAGGAAAGCCACTCAGAGTACTGGCAGGTTTTTCAGTGAATGCAGACCTTGGCGTGGTGACAACCTGAATTCTGGTGCAGCCAAGTCTCTGATGTGTCATGTCTGATGCTGAATGAGTGCAGGTAAAATGTTTACTGTGAGACACAGGCAGGGGTACTAATGGAACTCCCACTACAGTTATCTTCAAATAAGCAGCAACAACCACCAGACAATGTGTCAAATTGTGTCTAACAGCTCCAAATGCAAATGCAAGGTTGCAAATACTTATACAGCTGCTGGAATTCGGTCAACACTGCAGGAGATTTTCTGTCTATAAAACGTATTTAGTGTATGACCTTTGGACGCCCCGTCCACCCTCTAATAGGTAATGCAGGTATCCCAAGTTTCCTGAAAGTTCTGTGAGTGTCAGAAACATTAACAGTAACTGTCAGGTCTCCCTGACCGTCAAACTAAATAAAAATTCCCAGCATCCAGTGCAAGCAAGACAGATCATGTATATGAGGCAGGGTTAATATTTATTAAATTATAGAGAAGAGAAAGCCCTAAGTTTACTGATTGGCTCATATTGGTTTGTGAAATTTATATTAACAATGAATTTAAAAGCGAAATAGTAGTTGTTAGTGATTGTATTTACAGTGGGCTAGGTGAATTGTCCAGGACGGTGTCCCTCACCTGATTGCCACTCTCCACTAAGACCCTGCAAAGGAATACATGGTAGAAATGGGATGGATGGATGGACCTGCATGTATGTTCTTTTTCTTCAAAGTGAAAATCAGACTTTGGGGTTTTCTTACATTCTGAAGTTTGCAATTGTCTTTAATTGAAAATATATAAGTGTTTTTTCTGCCAGGAAAACAAATTAGGATTTGGTATTACATGGCAGATTCAGCACAAGGATCTGGTTCTATTCACAACAAATATTTGAAATACCTGTTGGTAATTTGGTCGAGCACCACCAACATCCAAATAAAGCAGGACAGAAATCCAGCAGGTTGTTACCACCTACAGTACCTGTACTGTGTGAAGATCTACATGTATCTGTGGAAATTTTATCATGGTGTAAAAAAAATCTTTCTCTCTCTCACTTTCTCTCTCTCTCTCCTTTCTGGTACCACCAATGAATTCTCATAGGGTAATTTGCTCCCTGTTCATTATCCAATCAGGCCAGGGATTTCTGGCTGTGCACGGGTCATCATGCTGTATCTGTAAATTAGCATTTCAATTACTGCCTCACTGCTAACGGCTGAGGGCTGCAGTATACATCCTATTAACAGCCCCCTCTTTTCAACCCCTACATTTATATACACTAAACCCCTGCATGATGGGAAAGAATGGGGGCAGAGATAACGTGGGTAATGAATAAGCATTGCCTGTAGGCTGAGAGAGAGAGAGAGAGAGAGAGAGAGAGAGAGAGAGAGTAATTCCTTTAGTTTGTACTATAAATCATACAATTTTCGTGGTACAATTTTCTAAAAAAAAAAAGCCATAACTGCCTGAGGTTGTTGTGGCCTTGATAGTCTGGGCGTAGCAGAGCACACGTATGTGGACATTTATGAAATACTGGAAGATTTTACAAATAAGATAAAGAGTCAAATAATCCTCCTCCTCATGGGTGTCTTATTTGGCTGCTCTTATATACCCCCCCCCCCCCCCCCCCCAGAAATGAGTGCCTTCTGCAGCTACAGGCGGTCGAGGAAGTGTAGAGTTTGGGACTGGGCCATCTTCAGACACCTTGTTTGAGCACCTGTTAGCAATTTATAATCAGCAGAGCAGCCTCCCCAGCAGACACACCTGTTCCTGTTTACCTCGTCAGCTCCCCCTGCACGTCACACCAGCAAAGTCAGAACTGAAGTGGCTGGATTCCAAGAGCAGTTGATTTAACAGGTAAGGAGACCATAAAAAAAAATCACTTCAATAATAGTCCATGTTTATGAAAACTTAAACATACAAGTTATACTGTATGCAGTCAAAAAGACAAAACCACAGAAAAAATCTCCAAAGGTTTTATTTTCATTTTAATGTAATGTTGTTGAAAGATATAAGTAGAACTCACGTTACAAATTAATAATAACAGAACATGTGCTATAAAAATACATATTTAATCCAACATAAACAATTTAATTTGTTTAAGTTGAGAGCAGTGTTGATTGATGTGATAAGCTTGTCCTTCTGGACTAAACAGCCATGAATACAGGAAGGAAAGGAAAATGAACTACTTGTTATGTGACACACACCACTGCACACAACCAAATGTGACCTCTGCTTTTAACCCATCACCAAAGTGAACAGTGGGCAGCTTTAAGAGCCTTTGGAGCAGTGTGTAGGGACGGTGCCATGCTCAGAGCACCCCAGTGGTAACTTGGCAGCTGGTGGACTCAAACCTGCAACCTTTCAAACCCAAGTC